TTATTTTCTTTGTGTAATTTTTCTGACTCAATCCCAAAAATTCTATTGAATTTACTTAGCAAGGTATTTTCCTCTTTAACTTTTCAAATATGATCTTCTAAATCGCTAATTTTTTGATTCATATCTGCTACTTTGATCTGTTCTTAACGTTTTATTCTAAAACCGATGTTTTCCTTTTTAAATTCCCAAGCATTAAATTATTTATTTAAATTATATGAATGTGTATTGAATCACGTTGAAGAATATGTATATATATATATATAATAATTGTTATAATATAATAAATTCAATTTACCCGCTTCTTCTTTATGACTTTCATGACTTGGTTGGTGACTTGTTACTTTTTCGTGACTTGATCGGTAACTCTTTGGTATATTGATATTAGGATATTTTATAATAATATCTGATGTCGTCATATTTTGTTGAGATGGAGTTCAGCTGGATGATTGTGAAGGAGTTCGACTGGAAGATTGAGAAGATGTTTCGCTAGAAATTTGAGAGAAATTTTGATTAGAAGTTTGAGAAGATACTGTAGGTGTATTATTTCGCATAATGAGATAAGGGGGTGTCGATGAAGTTATTGCGATCTGTAGTTAACTGAGGTCATAGTTGAGTTATTAACGAAGTTGTAAATTTTTTTGGTGTATTAGATTGAGGAGTTGTTGACAAAGTTGATGCTTTAGATTAAGGAGGTGTTGAAGGTGTTTGACCTATTGAAGCTAAAACATCTGCAGTACAATGAGTCTAAATAATGTTTAAAGTGTGGTTTATCTGTTGAAGTTCATAGTCTATTAGGTTGAGAAGATGTTAATGAACTTATATTATATCATGATCTATTAAGTTGAGAAGAGGTTGACGAAGATGGTGATACCATGTGAAGTCAATCTTACTGCGTCACAAAGATTAACGAATGATTAACGTTATTAACTCCTTTAACATTTTTAACTTAGTCAACGTTTTTATTTAATTTATTTTATTCTGATATTTTATTATTATTATTTATTAAATTATTATTATCGTTAAATTATAATTTATCTTTTATATTTATTTTATCGTTATAAAATAGTTTAGTATTAGTTAGCAATTTCTTATAATTGTATTTTTGTATAAATAGAATAGAAATTTGTCCTTGTAAAAGGGCAGAGATAAC